AATCTCTCTCTAGCCACTTCTTTAAGGTACATATTTGGGGATTATAGCATTTGTTTTGTGCAAAAAAAGAAGGTTAAATGTTAAATTTAGTGCCTCAACTTTATAAAATGTACATTTTTGGTCCCTCAACAAAATTTTGTACTTTTTTAATCCTTTAACTCTAAAAACTACACAATTTTAATCCTTCTGTCAGTTAAGTGACACCTTACAGTTAAATATTCAAGAATGGCACTTTTTAATGATGTGGCAATGACAACTCATATAATTAGCTTACGTGGAGTATGCCAAGTCAGACTTAATTGTTTTTTTTAATCTTTTTCAATTCTTTAAATATTAAATTACTAAAATGCAATTAATTTATTCTTCTTGCCATGGTTCTCCTTTGTGCTTTCTCTGTTCCTCTTGCCACCGCCACCATTTCCAGTCATTTTTCCTCCCCTTCCCCCTCATCAGCTCGGCCATGACTGGGTTCATCGCGAACCCAAGTCTGCTCTGCTCTGGGTTCGACGCGAACCTAGAGCAGATCTGGGTTCGACGTGAACCCAGAGCAGATTTGGGTTCATTGCGAACCCAAGTCTGCTCTACTCTGGGTTCGTCGCGAACCCAGGTCTGCTCTGGGTTCGTCGCGAACCCAGGTCTGCTCTGGGTTCCTCGCGAACCCAGGTCTGCTCTGGGTTCGTCGCAAACCCATTTCTTTATTGCCATAGATTAGGTAAATTTTGTTGAATATATTTATGTTAGAGTCCAGTTTGATTCATGGTGATTCATTGTCAGTTTGATTCTTTGTCGCAAACCCACAATGTTCATTATTAATTCCTTGTTTTTGAAGGAAGATGTATGCTAACTCTCTCATTCATGGTGATTCACACATGCTTTTCGCAGAGGATAGAAATAAGGTAAAGTAGATTTATGGAGGAAACAGTGGCATTTCTTCTGAAATTTTATGTTGCTTTTAATTGTGGAGTACTGAATGAAAGAGGATGAAAGAGGCAAACCCAAATCATTTGGGTTCGTGACAAACCCTTCTGAGTTCATGACGAACCCAGATCGTCTCTGGGTTCCTCACGAACCCAATCATGCCCAAGAAGGGGATGAGGGGAGGGGAGAAGAGAAACAGTGACAACCAAAGGAAAAATGGCTGAAAACAGTGGCGGTGGGAAGGAGAACAAAGAGAGCACAAAGAAGAACAATGGAAAGAAGAATAGATTAAGGGCATTTTAGTAATTTTATATTTAAAGAATTGAAAAAGATTAAGAAGGACAATTAAGTCTGACTTGGCATACTCCACGTAAGCTAATTGTATAAGTTGTCATTGCCACGTCATTAAAAGTACCATTTTGAAATATTTAACTGCCAAGTGTCACTTAACTGACGGAAGGATTAAAATTGTGTAGTTTTTAGAGTTAACAGATCAAAAAAGTGCGAAAACTTGTTGAGGGATAAAAAATGTGCAACTCTATAAAGTTGAGAGATCAAAATTAACATTTAATCGAAAAAGAAGTTGATGGCAAAGACTGAAGCCTGAGGAAAGGCAAAAAGGCAAGGAAGAAAACTATGTAACGTTAAGATAGGTAAGAGAAATCAATGCTGCTGAATATAATATTGCTTGATTACTATAAAATTTTTAGAAATTTTAAAAGACTCAAAAGCTCTGTTCAGACAAATTTAGGACAGCTTCAACTTTTGCTTCTTCAACAAGCATCAGTGTCGTATGAACTGAAGAAATTTGAAATTTGATTTTAAGTCCACACTTACGGCAGCGCCATTGTTTCTTCTGGTAAAAGCGAAACTAGCATTAGCATCAATTTACCGCCATTCCAAGTTACTATTCAAAAAAAAAAAAGTCTACAAAATTAGCTAGGCGTGGTAGTGTAGAATTGTCAAACTAGCATTTACCAACTTTAACCCAGTCAGCAATTTA